GGTAAGGACAAGGTGGAGTAGCATCCCATGCTTGTTGTCCCCAAGGCCACGGTTGGTATGGTGCCCGTTGAGATGGTTGATGCCACGGACGTTGTTGCTGCCACGGATGCTATTGTTGCTGCCATGGGCATTGTTGTTGTTGTTGTCCACCACCGTGGTTGTAGTTACCACAACCTTTTCCTTTACCCCGAGTATTATTGCGACTTTGACTGCGTTTCAGACCATTATTGTTGTGATTTGATGTATTACCAGAACCTGCAATCAAATTTCGTCCATAGGCAGAGGCATCATCGTTGGAACCGTTGGTGGTGAGGAGGGCGGTGTCAACAGTGCTATAGCAATGGCAGTGACTTGTTTAGCCTTGCGTGTTTCTTCAAGGATTAACCTCGATCGTGCCTCGTAAAAAGGCGGTAAAGGATTTCTCTGTTGAATGAATGTAGCAACACAATCGTAGTTCTCATTTAAACCTGCAATTAATTGAAGAACTAACCTTTGATTTGAAACCGGTGCACCAACGTTAGAGAGTTGATCGGAAAGCGTTTTGAGTTCTTGGCAATAGGACGAGATGTTAGGATAATTGTCCATATGAACATGAGTGAATTGATTCTCCAGGTAAACGACACAAGAATTTTTGTTATCCTAGAAGATGTTTTCCAATCACTCCCATGCTTGTTGTGCAGTTGAATCTGGTTCCAAGATGGTGTGTAGAAGATCAGTGGAAATCGTACCATAAATCTATTGAAGGACAATTGCATCCAAGCTTGACCATAATGCTTTCTCAGTCTCGGCATTTGTTTGTGTTTCCTGCTCGATTAGCTTCGATTTTGGTGGGATAATATGATCAATTACTTGGTATGCTCGACAATGTATCTTAAACAACTCCACCCACGAAGAGTAGTGTCCCTTGTCCATCTCAAAAGTAATGGAGATGAAAATTTTCACATTATTTACGACCAAGGCAGGATGGAATTTGGTTTGTTCGGCCATTGATTATGAGGGGAAGAAGAGAGAAGGGTAAGGAAGTGAGATGTGGTGGAGCTTGGTGGGACGGCTAAGGTTTTGTTCAACTAGGATTAGACCTAGGCTCGTGATACCATGTTGGAAATCCTGCGTGCCTGATTCTTATTCATTGGTAAACTATATACATGAGAATATGAGTGAAAATAGGCTACAATTAAGGTAACATTTATCATAAAAGATTATGCAAATATTATGCATACATTCTTTCCGTGATCTACCAAACTGGCTAGTTGGCCAACTGAACATCTTATAGGAACTCACACATTATAACCATGCAAAGTGTGGTGTGGTTTCTATCAACGAATGTCATATGGGGGTCACATACACCCCCACCAAAATAAAATTGTAACAATTCAATAGGTCTCACACCAGCACAACTCAAACATAAATATAAATACGTAGTGAAAAACATAAGTTATTTATCCTAAGTTTATCATGCAACACAATCAAGACATTATATATATATATATATATATATATAGCAGTGACTTGTTTAGCCTTGCGTGTTTCTTCAAGGATTAACCTCGATCGTGCCTCGTAAAAAGGCGGTAAAGGATTTCTCTGTTGAATGAATGTAGCAACACAATCGTAGTTCTCATTTAAACCTGCAATTAATTGAAGAACTAACCTTTGATTTGAAACCGGTGCACCAACGTTAGAGAGTTGATCGGAAAGCGTTTTGAGTTCTTGGCAATAGGACGAGATGTTAGGATAATTGTCCATATGAACATGAGTGAATTGATTCTCCAGGTAAACGACACAAGAATTTTTGTTATCCTAGAAGATGTTTTCCAATCACTCCCATGCTTGTTGTGCAGTTGAATCTGGTTCCAAGATGGTGTGTAGAAGATCAGTGGAAATCGTACCATAAATCTATTGAAGGACAATTGCATCCAAGCTTGACCATAATGCTTTCTCAGTCTCGGCATTTGTTTGTGTTTCCTGCTCGATTAGCTTCGATTTTGGTGGGATAATATGATCAATTACTTGGTATGCTCGACAATGTATCTTAAACAACTCCACCCACGAAGAGTAGTGTCCCTTGTCCATCTCAAAAGTAATGGAGATGAAAATTTTCACATTATTTACGACCGTTTAAAATCGGTTCACAATGACCGATTTTAAAAGTCTCACTTTTAACATCGGTTATGGCATGACCGATTTTAAAAGTGAGACTTTTAAAATCGGTTATTGTGAACCGATTTTAAAAGTGGGACTTTTAAAATTGGTCAATGACCGATGTTAAAAGTCCCACTTTTTAAAATCGGCTTTTTTAAAATCAGTTTGAGAACCAATTTTAAAAGTAAAAAATAACCGATTTTAAAAGTCTTTTTTCCACTAGTGGGTTGAGAATACTCGAGCAACCAAAAGTGGTTTAAGAATACTAGCATTTGCGAGTGAAGCTGACGAACCAGAAGTGGTTGAGAATACTTGGGACCAGGAGTGGTCGTGACCTGGGTGGTCTATAATACTCACTGCTAACCTGAAGAGGCTGAATAAACAATACTTGTACTTAATTGTTTATCTAGTGGAAACCTTCGTTTGAAGGAGACTGGACGTAACTCAGTTTGAGTGAACCAGTATAAAATGTGCTCTACGGTTTAATGTTTCAAATGCACTTTATTTGGTCGAGATCTAATTCATTGAAAACTTTGTCCAATAATTATCATCTATTAAAGCTATCCTTAGACGAAAACTATATTTGCTCAATTGATTATTCTAAAAGAACAGTTTTCGTTTAAGTAGTAATTTTCTCTTTGCAGACGATGAAACTTCCAGCCGCAAAATAATTTTGATAAACCAATCTTGGGCTGTTTCAATTCAGGCATTCATCAATAATACTTTTAGTGGACGAAAGAGAGCCTTATTGCGAAAATGTATTAAAACTCCTTTATTCACATACACACACATATTCAACCCCCCTTCTATGTGTTTTTCCACTAATTTCAATTGGTATCAGAGCTTAACCCCTTGGGTTAAGCATCTAACAATGCAGGGGTACATACCAATCTATAGAAAAACGAAGGACAAAGGAAAATTGAAGAGCAAGGGAGACAAACAACCGGTATAGGTAAACCTAGTATCAAACCATTCACTTCAATAATGCATGTTGCTTATATTATAAGAACAAATTACATCTATTAGACTAAGATGTTATAAGAACATATTACATCTTGTACTTTTCTGGGTAGATCTCTAAAACTTTCGACAATTTACAATTGCTTCCAGTTACATAGTGAGATCGTATGAAAGAAATAGATATTCATTATATACTAACATCATTTGTTGATAATTATAAAATTTGTTTGTTATGATTAAAATATTTTGAGGGATGTAATTTATCCTTTAACTTAACAGATTTTCTGAGCTTTATACACGTGAGTAAATTTTACTTACCTTAATTGGTTGATAAATATTTTTTTTTTTAATATTCCTTTCTTTCGTTTTTTCCAAAAGCTTCTTAGGGTATCTCCTTAAATCTTAGATTTCAAAATCTTGAGGATTTTTCTTGTTATAAGTTGATGCTTCAAGAATCTCATCATAGAAAGACAAGAGTTTGAAAATTGGGTTCTAATTGATTTGAGAGAAGAAAGGTATTTGATTCTTATAATTGGTTTTTGGAACCCAAATTCAAAATAATCCATTTTTTTACCCTTAGAATTGGATTCCTTACATTCAAAAGAGAATTGGATTCTTGAATTTATGATAATTATTGTTTTGCAAAAATAAAATTGCTAAATTTATGAAAATATTCGTTAAACTCATTTTTTTTTCTTCATATAATAGAATGTACCTTTATTGATTACTTTATTTTAATAATAATTATTTGATCCTAAAACTTGAAATTGAGTTCAAGACTAACTTTAAAATTAAGGAAGATGCTATCCAAAATAGGTATCGATTAAAAAATCAAAGCAAGAAAGCTTTTATTCTTCTGTGTAATTTTATTGTAGTTTTCAATAAAAAAAAAAATTACTTATTGATTCATTAGTGTCTTAGTAAGTCTTCCGGAAATCTTATCACGTGATTCGTTCTTTCAATTAAATCAAAATACTAAAATATTAATTATTTATTTCTTCTCAATGAAAAAGGATAATTAGTTAGTGTTGAGTTATTAAACCACAATGTTGGTGTTTGAGTAATAATGGTAAATGCATTAGCTTTTGGGAAGATGCTTGGAACGACCTCGGGGTTTTATTGGAATCTACAAACAACCTTCCACATGGTGTGGATCTTAATTCCAAATTATTCCATTTTATGTACAACATGGGTCAATGGAATGTTAATGCCTCAGCTTCATAGCTTGGATGCAAACTAAGATGATTTAAGGGTTATTTTATGATATTTGTGAGAAATGAGAAAGATATATTTTTTTAAAAGATTATAGTTTATTATATATCGAGTAGTTATATATAACTTCATAATATGATAAGATATTGTTTATTTTAAATTTATATATTTATAATTTTATTTTTGGTTATTATTATTTTTTTAATATTAGTATGTACATATTTTATAAACTTTTAATGATATAGAATTTTATTTGTATTCTAATTTATGCGATTTTCACGGTAATTTGATCTTATGACATTTTTATATCTAAAAGTATAGATCAAAGTTTAATAATCATTAAAAGAAGATAAATATAAAATGAAATAAAGCATGTCAAGAAAAATATGATCCAATTTAAATAAGTTAATAATGAGTTAAAAATATTAAAATTAATTATTTTTTATTCAAATTTTAATTTTTTTTAATTTCATTATTTAGGTACTACTAAATTACTCATAATTATTCCTTAAAAAAGTTACTCATAATTAACTATTAAGTTCACCTAATGATTCTCTCTGTAAAAAAATTGTTATCAACCACATTAATTTGAAGTACAAAGTGGACTTGTGTAAGTCTTTGTCAAGAATATTATTTCATGAACCAATCAAGCAAAGCTTAAACTTTCCTTAACCTTTTAAGAATCGACAACGAGTCCAATAAACCAATTAAGCAAGCACAAAACTTTTGATCTTGAGGAAACAAATTTGGGTGGCGAGGTTTTGATAATGTTGAGGGAGAAGTTCGTTCAATTTTTCACGCGTCTATGTGGTGTTTTCAATGCTTTTGAGGATGACATGGCACCACTCAGCCCAAATGAAGAAGATCCACCATTAGGATTGGGAGGAAAACTTATCAAGATGACTTGTGCTCTGGCCTTCAAAGCTCACAAATCACCAAAGAAGTTTTACCTTCTTAAAAAGATTGGAAGTTCTCCTTCAGATGTTAATCTTATTTTTAGTTTTCCAGGATCATGGGATGCCTCTGATTGGTTTGTTAGAAAACCTTTTGGGGTAACTAAAATAAATCTTGCATTGTTTCCTTCACTTAGAAGTATTGGTAATGATGAGGCTGCTTTGGTAAATGAAGCATTTCTGCTGAGATTTGAATCCATTTTAAGCAATTCATCTCTTAAGTCTGAGGTATGTAACTAGCAACAACCAATAATTTAGTTACCTTTTTTTTCTTTTAATATATTTGGCACTTTTATGGTAATTTTGGTAACCCTGATGGGAAAATTTTATATTTTTGCTGATTCTTTTTTAATGTAAGCAAACAATACATATAAATGTGTAGGTAAATGAAGCAATACAAAAAGGGTACCAGATAGTATTTACAGGGCACTCTTCTGGTGCTGCAATGGCCATTCTTGCAACATTTTGGGCCTTGGAAGAGCACCTTAACCCAACCAAAATCCAAAATCACAAGCCTCCATTTTGTGTCACTTTTGGGTCTCCCTTAATTGGCAACCATATATTCTCTCATGCTTCAAGGAGAGAAAATTGGTCTCGCTTTTTCGTACACTTTGTTATGAGATTTGACATAGTGCCTAGGATTTTGCTTGCTCCCTTCTCTTCTATTGACCAAACTTTTGGCTCAATTCTCCAATTCTTGAACTCCGAGTCCAAAACTTCCACCCAAGATTCAACAAGGGCTAGTTTAATTTCTGAATTTTACTCAACCGTGATGAGAAACACAGCTATTGTGACAAATCATGCTGCGTGTAATCTCATGGGCAACACAAATTTGTTAATGGAGAATGTGTCGAATTTTGTTGCCTTGAGCCCTTATAGGCCATTTGGAACTTACATTTTCTGCAACAGAAATGGACACATGATTGTGATAAGAAACTCTGATGTTGTTTTGCAACTCATGTTTCACACTGCTCAGACAAACAATTTGACAGAAAATTCTGAAGTTGCCCACAAAAGCATGCAAGAACATCTAGCCTATCAAGCTAAATTGCAAGAAAGCTTGGAACTGCTGAATTTAGTATACTTAGACCAACTTGAGGAACTTCCCTTGTCTGTTGATGGTTCTAATAGTGATATTGCCACAGTTAGCACTACTTTGGATGGCCTTGAATTGGTAATTAGTATTTACTATCTATACTTGTTTTGATAAAAAAATTTATTAATACTTATAAGGAAAGAAAATGAGAATATCATATGTTTCATCTTTAGAAAACTTCTATAAAAGTTTATAAGAGAAATTCAGTTCATTTTATATTCATATTCTCTTTTCTTAAAAGTGCTTACAAAGAATTTCAGATAGTCTTACCTTTGTATACTTACAAAGTTCACATATTTCAAGATCATAGAACATAACATTAAGCTAACATTTGATGATTGCTTGCCTAAAATTTTAGAGCACAAAGGCTAGACTGTGTGTTCGAGCAGCTGGTGAGTTGGAAAAGGAAAAAATCAGAAATGAGGGGAAAATCAATATGAGAAAAGTTCTAGAAAGCATGGAGAAAGTAGAAGAATACAGAGCAGCATGTGAGAGTGAGACAACAAAACATGGTTATTATGATGCCTTCAAGATGCAAGATGAGTTAAGGGACTTTAGAGCAAATGTGACAAGGCTAGACCTAGCCGGTGTGTGGGATGAGATCATAGAAAAGCTAAGAAGTTATGAACTTCCAGATGAATTTGAAGGGAAGAAAAAATGGGTTGATCTTGGAACAAGGTTTAGGCAACTAGTGGAGCCTCTAGATATTGCAAACTATTATCGACATGCAAGGCATTACGAGGATGATGCTTCTTCTTACATGGTTAAGGGAAGGCCAAAACGTTATAGGTACCCTCAAAGGTGGTTGGAACATGCTGAGAGAAGACCACAAGAAGTTATCTCAGAATCTTGTTTTTGGGGTGAGGTGGAGGATATTTGCTACATAACCAGTAATGGGAATAGATCGTTTGAAGATGTTAAGGAAAGGGTTGAGAGATTAGAGGCTCAGATAAAAGCATGGAGTGAAAAAGGGTATTTGGCTAAGGATGTCTTCTTGGAAGGTTCTACCTTGGTAAAGTGGTGGAAGGCACTACCTTCACATCACAAGAAACAATCATGCATTAGAAGGCTCATCGAAACTGGCTTTGAATCTTCTCTGCCCTTAATTAAAAATAAGAAATAATTTAAATAATAAAAAAAATGAAATTTTATTAGTGAAAAATTTTAATAAAAATTGAAGTAAAAAATTTGAATCGAGATAATTTCTTCTGATGTAATGTAACACATACAAAATTTGTAACAGGTATTTAATTATTCAATACAAATTGTTATATATAGTAAGTTTAACTTATATTATCTTCGGTTCCTTATATAAAAAAAACAAATGAATATCATTTTCATTCTAACTATAAGAAACACAAGTTTATTTTTAAATGTATTGATTATTTTTTTTATACTCTTAATTTATTATTAGTCTATTAATAAGTGATTCACTCATTTATTCATTTAAGTGGATTCATTGATTCGACTACTAATAATATAAGTCATATTTATTGGTTGAAAAAAAAATCCTACATTTATGAGTTATGTCATTAAATATGCTTACTACTTATACCATTTTTTTTGTTCGTCCCTGGAGTATCCACTGCCGACAAAAGTGACTAATCCCTGACCTTGCTTAAGCGTGGATCAATCCCTACCGCTGAACCACATGCTTGGGGTTACTACTTATACCATTTAATTTTATGAATATACTTAGAATAAAATTTTAAATTCTGCTATTATTAATTAAAATTAATTTAATTACTTTTATTCATTTTGGTGAATTAAATATTTGTTTCTTGTATATAAGATGGAAGATAGTATTAAATAACTTTTTACAAGTTTGGGTATTATATGAAAACTAAAGGAAATTTATACGTAGAGATTATTTTTAAGATGAATTTCAAGATTTAATAGTGTTTTAGTTTTATTGGCAGCACTCTCTCCCGATCCATGTTGATTGATGTTTACACATTAAAATACATATATTTGTTCAATGTTATTGATTTGCAATGAAATATTAAATTTTTTGTTCAAATTTTACCTTGTAATATAGTTTTTTTTAAGAAATAAATGTTATTGTCTTAAAATAGTTAATAATGACTTTATAAAAATTAAGAATGGAGTAAAGATATTTTAGTAAAATTAGCTCGTAATAAATTCTATTATATTGGAGTAATTGATTTTTTCAATTTGTGTGTAAAAATTTTAAACATCAATAAATATGAAATGGAAGGAGTATATTAGAATAATTAATTTTAGAGTCTAAATGACTAAGTAGTTATGTATCATAATTCCATTAATTTCTCGCATAGGGCAATTTTCTTTCCTTTTAAATCATTTCCTCTTAAGTAATTAATTAATCTTAAGTAGCTTCATCATTACCAATACTTCTAAGTGAAGGAAACAATGCAAGATTTATTTTAGTTACCCCAGAAGGTTTTCTAACAAACCAATCAAAGGCATCTCATGATCCTGGAAAACTAAAAATAAGATTAACATTTGAAGGAGAACTTCCAATCTTTTTAAGAAGGTGAAACTTCTTTGGTGATTTGTGAGCTTTGAAGGTCAGAGCACAAGTCATCTTGATAATTTTTCCTCTCAATCCTAATGGTGGATCTTCTTCATTTGGGTTAGGTGGTGCCATGTCATCCTGAAAAGCATTGAAAACACCACATAGACATGTGAAAAGTCGAACGAACTTCTCCATCAACATTAACAAAACCTCGCCACCCAAATTTGTTTCCTCAATATCAAAAGTTTTGTGCTTGCTTAATTGGTTTATTGGACTCGCTGTTGATTCTTAAAAGGTTAAGAAAAGTTTAAACTTTGCTTAATTGGTTCATGAAATAATTGTAAAGGTAGGAGGGTTCGGCCACCACCCTATCGGCCGCCGAATGGCAGGACCAGGTAGTCGAACGCCAATCGGCCACCTAGATCGGCCTATCATCACTTGGTACTCTTAATCAAAGATTAGGGGTTAATTAGTCGATTAAAGTGTATTACCTAATACGGTAAATATGTTGCAGGGCCCATGGGGTCCAGGGCCCATAAATGTCAGTATAAATAGCTCAGGTCAAAAGGTAACGTCACTGTTCATTAATTATCCTAGATATTCGAGCTTGTCCTGACTTGAGCGTTGGAGTGCCTTTTGCAGGTACCAACCCCTTCACCAGCGCATTGGATCGGGGCTCTCGTTCGGCCTTTGGACTACCAGAAGACTTAGTGTGCCCACAGACAGGTACATTTGGCGCCCACCGTGGGGCCGAGGTGTGAACTTCGTGGGATTGATAGGACCCTTGAGTTTGCATGTTGGTTGCCTGAGTAGGCCTCCACGACGGATCTTGATGTTTCAGTGCCTCGTTCTCGACTCTTAAGGCCGAAAGCTCCTTTGCGTCCTTCTCCCGCTATTGTTTCATCGCGGCCATCTCCTATTTCAACAGACGGACGGTTTCAGAAAGATCGGTCTCGTCTACAACCTCAACGTGTTCCTCCTCGTGCTGATGATCTGTCGTGTTCGTTCTCCTTGTTATCGCCATTGTTCTGCTCAGTTAATCTTCACAAACGTCTCAGTTCGGAGCCACGGTGGGCGCCAAATGTACCTGTCTGATGGGCACACTAAGTTTTCTGGTAGTCCAAAGGCCGAACGAGAGCTCCGATCTAATGCGCTGGTGAAGGGGTTGGTACCTGCAAAAGGCACTCCAACGCTCAAGTCAGGACAAACTCGAATATCTAGAATAATTAATGAACAGTGACGTTACCTTTTGTCCTGAGCTATTTATACTGACATTTATGGGCCCTGGACCCCATGGGCCCTGCAACATATTTACCGTATTAGGTAATACACTTTAATCGACTAATTAACCCCTAATCTTTGATTAAGAGTACCAAGTGATGATAGGCCGATCCAGGTGGCCGATTGGCGTTCGACTACCTGGTCCTGCCATTCGGCGGCCGATAGGGTGGTGGCCAAACCCTCCTACCTGTACAATAATAATCTTGACAAAGACTTGCACAAGTCCACTTTGTACTTCAAATTAATGTGGTTATTAATAACAATTTTTTTACAGAGAGAATCATTGAGTGAACTTAATAGTTAGTTATGAGTAACTTTTTTAAGAAATAATTATGAGTAATTTAGTAGCACCTAAATAGTGGAATTAAAAAAAAACTAAAATTTGAATAAAAATGGTTAATTTTAATATTTTTAACTCATTGTTAACTTATTTAAACTAGACCATATTTTTATTGAGATGCTTTATTTTATTTTGTATTTATCTTTTTTTAACAATTATTAAACCTTATCTATACTTTTAGATATAAAGATGTCATAAGCTCAATTCACCGTAAAAGTCGCATAAATTAAAATACAAATAGAATTTTATATCACTAAAAGTTTATAAAATATATACATACTAATATTAAAAAAATTAAATAATAACCAAAAATAAAATTATAAATATATAAATTTAAAATACGTAATATCTTATCATATTATGAAGTTATATATAAATACTCAACATACAATAAGATATAATCGTTTAATAAATATATCTTTCTCACAAATATCATAGAATAGCCCTTAAATCATCCTTGGTTTGCATCCAAGCTATGAAGCTGAGGCATTAACATTCCATTGACCCATGTTGTACATAAAATGGAATACTTTGGAATTAAGATCCACACCATGTGGAAGGTTGTTCGTAGATTCCAATAAAACCCCGAGGTCGTTCCAAGCATCTTCCCAAAAGCTAATGCATTTACCATTACTCAAACACCAACATTTAGTATTTATAAGAGACTTGAATCATCGATTATGAGACCATTATGTCTTGGTCTTTCTTATTTGAGAAAATGAACGTTGATGCAATATATACAAAATTAATAGTATGTTTGGAGAGATGATTTAGTAGAGAATGGAAGAGAATAAGAGAGGAATTATTAAGCAATTAAAAAAATATGTGTATATGAAGGCAATGATTTAAGTGGATGCAGAATGAAATTGTGGTGAGGTCTAAGTGGGTTTAATTTCACTCTTTTAAGGATAAATTTGTTAAAATTCTCCACCAAAATATACATGGACAAGACTACTCTTACTATTATCTAATTAGTTAATTAGTAAAAAAAATACAAATATAATTGTTTAAATAATATATTTTACATAAAAATCTAACTATATAAAATACATTTTTAAAATACCAATTTTTCTCTATTTCTCACTTAATTTTATTATATTAAATAACTATAAATTTCATATTATTTTCTACTTATTTCTTATCAAATCAATTTTCGAATATTCTCTTCTATTTCTCTCGATTCTTTTCCCTCTTCCAAACAAAACATATAAATGTCTTTCTCTATTTTATCATTGTCAATAAAATAAAAAATATCGTTCTAACAAGGTGCAACAAATCATAAAATTATTTTTGTTCAATAATATATATATATATATATATATATATATATATATATATATATCTTAATTATTACTTTTAACTTTTAACTTAATTTTTAAAATAATAAAAAACACAAGGCCCATAAAGCCCAAAAATAGACCCAATAAGCCTATGGCCTAAAATCCTAATCTAAGTGGTCCTTTTGTATTTGTTTAAAAATCAACTAAATATATTTTTTTTATAAAAAACTATTAAAAAATAAATTTCACCAAAGAGTATTAATTATAAATTATATTAATTAAATTTCATATGATATAAATTTAAAATAAAATAAAAATTAAATAAATATATACTTAAAAATCTAAGAGTATTTGAACAAGAACGAAAAAAGTAAAAAATGAATACAAAGCAAATAAACATATATTCACCTCATCCTTTATATCTAATTTAATAAATAAAATATTATTGATATCTTTATCAAATGTTGTTCATTAAAGTGATGAATGGTTGGAACACAGGCTACAAATTTATTTCTGACAAGTCGAATAGGACGAGGCAAAGACGCTTAATTTTTGGAGTAGAAGAGGAGATAAAGATAGCACAAGTCCGCGAAAGTGTGAGCAAAGTCACCGGTAGCTTCGCGACACTTGGTTGTGGTACGAAGGAAGTAAAACAAACATATTTGTGGACCCCACTCCGAACTTCATCATCAACAAAACTTGTTAATCCCTCAGCAGAGTCTTCGTCAATTCAGTAATTTAAACCCATGTTCGGTGTTCCTTTCCCTTATAAAATCCCAAGATGAATCCCTTCTGAAACACACACAGAACGCAAAACTTTCCCAACACACAACATGGCTGGAGCCTCCCTCCGAGACACCACGGGCTTGAACGAAGACCTCATCGCAAAGGCCTGTGCTTTCGCCTTCAAAGCTCACAAGTCGCCGGAAAAACTCTACCTTTCCGAAAAGCTTAAGATTTCTTCCGAGGCTTCCCATGTTTTCGCCTTCACGGCCTCCTGGGACTCTGCCCAATGGTTCCTCGACAAACCCTTTGGAGAAACTAAGATAGATCTTGCACTCTTCCCTTCGCTTCGAAGTATTGGTAACGATGAAGCTGCTTTAGCCAACCAAGCCTTTGCAAAAGCATTCGACCGCGTGTTTAAAACTACCAACCTTAAATCCGAGGTACATGTTTTATCGCACGTGTTCAATTTGAATTTCAACTCCCCGTGACCAATAGTAAGACACTCAGTTACCCGTGATGCTTTCTACTTTTGATCTATATGCAAATCAAACTTGTTAAGCTCAAATATTCTTGTATTGATTATGATCATCTTCTAAAAAAAAACTTCTCCATCATTAAAATATGTATGTTTTTATAAATTATTATTTCTTTTCTTATTTTATGGATGGAGACTTGTTTGTCTCCTAATGGTATAGGTATAAGTATGTTTGGTAAACTTCTCAAAAACACTTCTTCATAGGAATATATTTGAATAAGCTTATTGAAACAAACTCAATATATCAGATGGTAGGATCTATTGAATGTTCTAATCTTGTTGTCGTCATTTCAGGTGAAAAAGGCTATGGGAGAAGGGAAGCAAGTGGTTTTTACGGGGCACTCATCTGGGGCAGCAGTGGCCATTCTGGCAACGTTTTGGGCCTTGGAAGAGTACCTTAACCCAACCAAAACCCAAAACCACAAGCCTCCCTTTTGTGTCACTTTTGGTTCTCCCTTAATTGGCAACCATATATTCTCTCACGCTTCAAGGAGAGAAAATTGGTCTCGCTATTTCATACACTTTGTTTTGAGATATGACATAGTGCCTAGGATTTTGCTTGCTCCCTCCTCTTCCATTGACCAAACTTTTAGCTCAATTCTCCAACTCTTGAACCCCAAGTCCAAAACTTCCACCCAAGATTCAACAAGGGCAAGTGTAGTTTCCGAGTTTTACTCCACCGTGATGAGGAACGCAGCCAGTGTTACAAGCCACGCTGCGTGTATTCTTATGGGAAGCACCAATTTGTTGCTAGAGACAGTGGCGAGTTTTGTTGAGTTGAGCCCTTATAGGCCCTTTGGAACGTATGTTTTCTGCAACGGGAATGGACAGCTGATTGTGGTGAAAAACTCGGATGCTGTTTTGCAACTCTTGTTCCACACTGCGCAGCTAAGCAACTTGGAAGAACTTCCTGAAGTTGCCCACATTACCATATTGCAGCACCTGGCCTATGAAGCTGAATTGGAGGATAGCTTGGGAATGCAGAATGTAGTGTACTTGGAGCAACTTGAGAAACTTCCCTTGTCTGCTGATGGTTCTAATAGTGATGCTGCAACTATTAGCTCAGCCTTGGATGGCCTTGGACTGGTAATCACTGCTTGTTCTTTTATATATACATATACACATGTCATAGGATTAAATGATAGCAGGTGACAAATTTGGTAAAATTATGTCTTTAATAAGTAACAACTTTGTTATAGAAGCTAAATTATATCAATCCAATCATTGAATCATGTCACGTTATCTTGATGACCATTTATACCAAATTTTAGATAAATTTAGAAAGTTTTAGGTTGTAATCTAGATCTAGTACCATAAATTTACCTAACGAGTAATTATTTTCAAAATTGTATAAAATTTTGTCAGACTTTGATCATGAGTATTTTTAATGTAACGGTTGGATTGATAAAAGTTAACTTTATATAATACTATTAGAAGTGTAATTTTTTTAACAAGTTTTGCATATCATTATTACATATTGTTGTTATATTTCGAACATATATTTAGGTATAGGATTATAGGTATTGTTGGTGCTCTTGTTCAATTAGAATTGAAGATTTACGTCGATAATATATGTAAATATTTAAAGCAAACCTTGGTAATATAACATTTACACATATTATTGAGGCAAAATTTTAATTCTGATTGGAGAACATCAATATTAATAATACTTATGGTACTGTCTCCATAATTAAACTGAAAGATTCAGCTAATGAGTGGTGATTTCTTCCTTACAAATCAGAGCACAAGAGCAAGGCTGTGTCTAAGAGCATCTGGTGAGTTGGAGAAGCAGAAAGTGAGAAACGAGGGGAAAATCAGCAAGGAGATGAGGGAGAAAGCTGAGGCAAGCATGAGGGAGCTTGAAGCATACAAAACAACATGTGAGGTGCACAAGGGGAAGGGCTACTACGATGCCTTCAAGGTGCAAAAGGAGGGAAACGACTTCCAAGCCAATGTGAAGAGGCTTGTTCTGGCAGGAGTGTGGGATGAGGTGATTGAGATGCTTAAGAGGTATGAACTCCCAGATGAGTTTGAAGGAAAAGCAGAATGGATTCATCTGGGAACCGTTTATCGGCGCCTGGTGGAGCCTCTTGACATCGCCAACTACTATCGGCACTTGAAGAACGAGGACACGGGACCTTACATGGTGAGGGCAAGGCCAAAACGTTATAGGTACACTCAAAGATGGTTGGAGCATGCCAAGAGGGAAGAGCTGAAAGGTGCTGTCACTGAATCCACCTTTTGGGCTGAAGTGGAAGAGCTTTTCTTCTGGATCAATGGCAACAAGAGTTTTGATGATGTTAAGCAAAGAGTTGTGCAGCTTGAGCAAGACATTAGGAAGTGGACTGATAGAGGGGAACTGACCAGAGATACGTTCTTGAAGGATCCTAGCTTTGTCAAGTGGTGGGAAATTCTGCCTCAGGAACACAGGGTCACTTCCTGCATTGCTACTCTTGTTAATGCTGTGACGGGATAGTGACTAGTGATTCATCTTTTTTCCACTCCAAATGAAGCTATGGATTTATTTAGGATATGCTTTTGATGTACGTGTATGTAATTCTCATGCAGGTGTATTATAGCTACTTCACTGTTGTATTGTAACTTTGTATTTCTATGGTTTATGAGAATGACTTGTGAGAACCACAAATCATTCAGACTGCTGGACTAAATAAATTTGTTTCATACTATATAGCATTTGTGTTTGTGAGATACTCAGAGTTGATGGTTAACTAGGTATGTTAAATATTAAAAAATTTACATTGAAATAAGTATATTTTTATTTTACAGGGTGAGTATATCACAATCATTTTTCTTCATTCCTTTTCCTTACTAGGGCCTTTTACATTTTGATTGATATTAATAATATAAATTTGTGCATTAGGTCAAGTCATTTTGTAATGCTATATTGGGTTCGACCCAATTAGTTTCATTTATTTTATTTTTCTGGCTATTTATGGTAGATGGGTTGGGTATGATGATATTTGGTTCTTGTTTAGATGATCTATGATGGGCTTGACCCAATTCCACAATTTGTAACATAATTTATGTTTTATTTGTTCTATTAGTTTAAGGGCTTTGTAATTGGGGCAGGTGCTCTCTTTTATTTCCTCTACCTCAACCAGCAATAGGCTCGCCTCAGTCAACAATTTTTTATTTTATTTTTTATTTTATTTTAAATCACGAGATATTAGACTTGGTTTCTTTAATGTAATAGCCCAAAGCCAATTGTTTGCATGATTAAATGTTAGTTGTCCCTTATCATGTTAAACATTTTCAGAAACCTAATAAAGTTAATTTCTAATTAGCATTTAATTGATCTCATAAATTTAGATTTTGATTGCCTCATGCTATCTTAATTAATAAGAACAAATTTAGTTTTTTTGTTTAACAGTCAAAAGGAAGCTCTCACAATTAAAGAGAAGAAAAAAAACTTCAAAATTCATTCAAAATTTAACTCGTGTCTAAATTACAAACCATTCTCTATTCTCAAGTTAACTTTCCCACTACATATTAAATTCCCGGTAGAAATGAATTCCTACTAAACATTTCACCAAGCATTTAATTTCCACTAAAAATAAATTCTCACTAACAATCATTATGGTTTAATAAGCCTCAATAACCATTGTAGTGGTTTAAGCAAAAAATAATAATAAAAAAACTTAGCTTAGAAAATATCAAAATACATATGAACTCATCCCACTAAATTAAGTGTGAAAAATATATGAAAAAAATAGTTTTTAATTGACTATTAAGCCAGAAAAAAACAAACAACTAAGTAACCTAGTTAAATAAACTTTAACCCATAAATACATGTTGATTATTAAGTGTTGGGTTTGTTGTGTTATCTAACTTATTATTTTAAGTTGGTTGGAATTATCCTAGTTGGAAGAATGTGACAATTCTTGGGTTAGTCTATAGATGATCGGAATCTTCTTTAGCTTGAACTTTCATGACTAAGTGTTGCCAAACTTCTTTATTTCTTTTAGTTTTTACTCTAGTCAATCACCTTTTCATCCCTTGTAAATAATCTTTAAAATCGTGGGATCATGATAAATTTCTATCAAACTCACTTATATAACCCCAAGCGGGTGGTTCAGCGGTAAGGGTTGATCCACGCTTAAGCAAGGTCAGGGGTTCGAATCCTGCCTTGTGTATGCTGCCGCGTTAAATCTTGGGGCCAGCTATCCCACCCTTTGAGGTGCCTCCAACGTAGCGAGGAGATTAGTCACTGCTGTCGGCGGTGGATACTCCAGGAACGAACCTAAAAAAACTCACTTATATGTTTGTCATTTGTGCGTCTAGTATATATCCAACTACGATACACGACAACCTGATAGAAAATATATGACAAAAATGCAAAAGTTTATAGCATTCATCCTTAATTCACGGTGTTAGGCTACATGCTTAATGTGTGCCAACTTTATCCTACATTGGATGTGGGAGTGTTATCCTATAAAAGATTATCAAATTCTCTATAGATTATTGTCTTTTAGTCTTTATTTAAGAAAATTTTGGCAACGATTTCCTATGATTCTCCAAGTACATGACCTAATCAATGCATATTATCACCCTAGTTAGATCTGTACACAAAAAAAACAATAGTAAATAGAATCATATGTATTCTTAGATAAAATATAAAGATATATGTAAATTCTACTTTTAGTTTTTCTTATAATATCTTATACAAAATTTTAATTCTTAATTTTTAATTATACAATTTTATTCCTTCAATTTTATAAAATTTATAATTTTGGTTTTACCTCTAAATGTTTATCCATTCAAAGTTAAAATTTTGAAATGCTTTTTAAAGTTAAAAGAAATAAAGTTTTAAAATAGAAAGAGTATTAAATTAGGCTAAGAATATTGTGCACCGAAATTCACACATCTTCGTATTGATTCGATGAGACTTTATTTATATCATAACAATCTTCTCCTCAAACAAAGGATGATGATTTAACTTCCTCTTTTGTGAAAGTCTTTTTCCATATATGAGTATTCTAAAATGACCCTCATAACTAGCGTAATCATCACCACCAATAAATATTTTCGTTAGCTTATATTAATGGGACACGTCATTTGACTTTTACATTGTCAAGAAAACTTTCAATATAAAAGATCTCCAAACATGGATCCATTATCTCTATTGTTCAATACTCATATGAATTGGTCACATAATCAAATCATTAACTCAAATATCACTTTTAATTAATCAAGGATTCACACATATTTTCACATTAGTATAATATTGTTTATTTTAAACTTAAATCCTTATAAATTTATTTTTATTATCATCCCCTTAAAAACTTCATCTTATAAATTCATAATTATTTTCTAATTTTAATAATATAAAACTTCCTTTGTAATTATAGTCCAACATATACATGTTGTGTGAGATTTCATTCTTGACCTTGTGTATAAAGAAAATATTGTTAAAAGAGTGAAAACTTATTTCTACATATTTTTAAAATGAATTAATCTCATACATATATTTGAGGAGATCATCCATAGTAATGTGTGGACATGAGATGGGAGACACGTATAGACATGAGATATTGGTATCCATTGCAAATGAAAACAATTCTGATCTCATCCTCATTCGGCAGCGTATTGTTTCATGTTAGCCACAATCCCAAGACGCGGTGGATGAGTTCCCTGCGCAACTTATCTTCAATAACTCACTCCTTCATCAAGACAACACCAACATCCTTTTGTTTTTAAGTTTCTCACTTTTGCAGAATCAGACAAACTCATATACTTTCTCAACAATCAAATACTCTATAAGTAAATTAGTTTACTAGCATGTTATTTATGAAAGTCAATTGAAAATATCTTTTTCTTATACTATATTTTATCATTTTTTTCATATTATCTTTCAATATACTTTAAATAACAAGAATAAAAAAAGTTATTGAGTTAAATTTTGAAGTAGACGGACACAAAACTTGTCACTAACATTATTATATTGTTATCATTAATCTACGATGAATGTTAAATGAAATATAAGATCGGTCAAAATTTGTTTTGTTTTAAAACTTTGGTTCTCCTAACTTTCTAGTTTGTTTCAAAACTTTGGTTCTTTTTAAGGTTTTAATGCATTTTTATGTTTTTTTAAACTATATCCTTATGTATAGTTAAGTAATCAACACATTAATGTTATTATGAGTGAAAATTATGTTTTACATGAATATGAATGAAATAGTTAAAAATATTGTATAAATTAATAACCTGAGATAATTCAATCCAAATATATTTAAATTAAATGTTTCTTAATCTGTCTAAAAGGTTAGAAAAAACAAAATTTTAGAATAGAAGAAGTAAATTGCATTTTAAGTTAAAAAAAAGAGGTAAAAGATTGTTAACATATAACTATGCAAGATAATGGAACTACTTGGAAAAGATTGATGTTCTTCAAGTTGAATTATGCTAAGTTCTTTCTTCTCTTGAGGTTCTTCACTTCAATGGAAGATTTGGATGAGTTCAAGCTTTAAAAGCTTGAAGATGTTTCCCAAGGTGGTTCGGTTTCTCTTGAAGGAGAGAAACTTGAGGAACCAAGCACAAAGGAGAAGTTCCTTTGTGAAGCTTCTAGGAGAAGGAGATTCTCCACGAAATTGGACTCTTGAAATGAGAGAGAATTTCTGAATTCTAAGTCTCATAAATGTCAAAAGTGATTACAAGAGTAGAAATTACAAATATATAGAGGTAGGTAGTTTAAGCAGAAAGCTAATTTTAAAAATGGTTAAATAGGAAACATGGTAAGGTTAGTTGACCTTCTAGGTGAGTTTAGAAACTTGTGGAGCAAGCTTCTCACTTAGCTTGCTTGGGAAGCAAGCTAAGGAGAAGCTTGTAGCACAAGCTTCTCATCTCCTTGAAAGTTAGAGAAACAATTCAGTCAAAGAAAGGAGACTAGGCAAGGTGGGTGGATTTGGTCTCTTTTGGCTCCTTGAATTAATTTCAAAAATGTTTGATTTGGTTTAGTTAGGTTCATCCAATGATGATGAAACCTAGCTAAATCAAATTTATGAAAAATTAGGAGTAAAATGAGTCCAATATGTAAAATTTTGCCTAAGTCCAATTCTGGCCCAATTATTAGTCACACCCTCAAGTATTGCTAAAAGTCACCCCTCTTTTCCTACTGAAAACATAGAAAATGAGTGTATCAACAAAGGAGGTTAAATGGAGTCAAACTCTCCAAGTAACCCACCCTAAAATCAATATACAATGACTAATAAAGAAACTAAAGTGTCTTACAAATACAAAGGCAAAAATAAGCCTATACAAGAAAACTATGTACAAGATATTTACAATTAGAACTATACCTTCTCTTCATGATAGAGTGGTCCAATTTGAAGAGTACCTTGGACTTGGAAAACACACTGGTCTTCAAGGTGTCCACTGGTCTTCAAGGTGACCATAGCTCTAGAGATTGGGCTCTTGGCCCATAGTCCATCATCTCATTCCTCTTGGTTCTTTCAATGTATCATCTCTTGGATTCTTTGACCTTAGCCATAGTCTATCACAAGATCAGGCTATACCCATTCAAAATTGGAGAATTGTAGTCCTTTTCCTTCAATTCTATGTGAATGATCGTGACTCCAATCATCATCAAGTTTATCAGCTGACCAAAGATTGCTACCTAAATCTTGGTTCTGGACAGCCTTATCAGTTCAAAACTTCATATACGTTCTTTCATTTGAAAGTTAGACACGCGA